GGGGCACTTTGGAGGGTTAGGATACCCCTTCTAAAGGATGAGCATCACTTTGAAAGGTAAAGATGTACATATATACCCGTGTTTGTCAAAACCATACTCCGGATGAGAGAGAAAGGATACCTTCTTTTAGCTTATGATTATGAAATCAATCAATCAAAAAACAAGTTGGGCGCACGTGACATGTACCAACAAAGCTAAAAAGTTCAAAAACGCGTTCTTTATATATCTTAATAATTTTTTTATATAAAAAATATATATATATATATACACATATCTTAATAATAAAAAAATAAACAAATAAACAATAAATCTTAATTACAAATTGCACTCACACTTACCCAGCAGGGTTTTGGCTTTTGTTATTTTATTTTATTTTATTTTTTGAAAAATTGTTGTCCAAGCAGCCTTTACAAAGACCTGTGGTCACTTAGCCACGGGTTGCTAGACGTATGGTTTGAGGTTGCGGCACTTATCCTTTAAATTATTATTATTTTTCTTTTTGAACAAGTTGTCAGAGAGAGTTCAAAGCTTACTCATGAAAAAAGAGAGAATGCACCTTAAATTGATAGATGTTAATCAATCTAAAAAGTAAAGGTTTAGATTAATTGATAAAAATGTAAACGTAATTTACATATATTTTGAAAATATGCAGTTGATCTCTTTATTATTATTATTATTATTTTTCAAATCGCACTAAGTCATAAAAATGAGATTTTGATCCGTGATTTGAATGTGCACTTAACTTTCAAATTACTTTTAATAGTATACTTTGTGGATTCAGTTTACATTTGTATGATTTATGAATTAAGTGTATATTTTCAAATTATATAGAGTTAATTGTGCTGATCAAAATAAATATGGGGTTAGGTGCACATTTTTTGTGATTTAAGAGTTAAAAGTGCACCCAATTGTGTAAGTGCAATTTTCCTAAATATGTTAATATGCTTTTTTTTTTCTTCTTCCATTTTGGTATTTCACTTTTCCCCTATTTAGACCCTTCATTTCTTTAAATTTCTTCTTGTATTAAGTTTTTCCTTGATGGTAATTTTTGAATTAGATATAATGCTTTCGCATGACAAACAAAATCAATACTATATTATTAATAATATTTTGATCCAAATAAAGTGATGACTTCAAAATTAGAAGATCTTAATTCAAATCTAATTTGCATGACTCATAAATTCCCAATGAACCTTTTTTTTTTTTTTTTGAACCATAGCAATGGTATTACATAGGTTGGGGGAAGAGAGGAATGTGACTAAGGGAATCAGAACCAATAGCCTCGTAGCTGATTCACTGGGTGAGTGCCCAACTGCTTACACAAAAGTGAACTTTGAGAAGATGGAATTATGAGTCATGTTAGCTGAGCTAGATTGACAACGGAACTAATAACAACCTACTATTTATTCTAAAAGATAAAATTAGGTAACCAAAGTTGCTCTGATTTAAGAATTAGCAGACTCTAGGATAAAGACACATCTTCATTTCCCTATCCTGTTACCCCTAAATACTTTCTCCACTCTCTTCTATCCACATTTCTTCCCTCCATAAGATTACAAATTGATGAACAGAAACCCATCAATCTCAGTTCCCTTTTCAAAGTTGTAATTTTGCCTTTGTCAACATGACTAAATCAATGACACATATCTACTACCATACCAATCAATTTATTGTATTTTCATCTACCAAGAAGTTAATTAATTTTTTTTTATTTTTTTAATTTCTTCATGTCCATAGAGGCTCCCAAGGTGAGCCAAGATTGGTTTCGTCCAGAAAACAGGTAGTATCAACCAACTGCGGTTGCTGCGAGATGGGTTCTTTAGCCATGCAGATTAGTGCAATCAAATTGGCTTGGTGGCACTGCATAGTGACCAGCTCTGCCTGCGTCTTGGCCAGCTGCGCTTGAAGCTCGCTTACTTGCTTCTGCAGCTGACAGATTGCTCCCGCGCAGCCGTAAACTGGGTCACGAATCCTGGCGTTTGCTTCGTACACCATGCTGCTCACTGCATCTGCTCTTTGAGATTCCGGTAGCTCCTGAAAATTTGGAAACAAAAAATTTATCTAACCAAACAACCATCAAAAAGCAATAATTCTGGTCATTTTACCTCTGTAGCATGTGGGCATCACTAAAAAGGTTAAGAAAAAAAAAGTTCAAAAAGACTTTTTATCATCCAATATGCTACTTTTCTTTAATTCCTTTTACCAATTCAACTTCTTCGATTAATTTTATAAAGAAGCAGTTAGGGTGTTATATAAAGAAAACAAAATAGTACCACCTAATTACTTTTTTAATAACCCAAATAAAAGGCGCCTAAATTTATAGCTCAATTGATAAAGTGCGTGTTGAATACAATTCCCACTCCTCAAATATACTCCAAAAGTTAAAAAACAAAAAGCTTAAGAGAACGAAAATGTGTATTAATGGTATTTACCTGCAAGAACTTGATGATGTTACTAGCACCGAAGACTCTGTGAGCAATTGTGAACTTATATGGTTCAGTTGGGGGAAAATATGGAGCCAGAACACACTTCTCGACGCATCTGCGGCGGAGGATTTTGCAGGCGGCGCAGGGGCTGAGAATGACCGGTGGAGGAGAAGAAGGAGGAGGAGGAAGAGGAGGGATAGTTGGAGAAGAGTGATGGGAAGGAGGAGGAGAAGAAGAGGAGGTGGGTGAGTATGAGAATGGAGGAGTGGAAACGGAAATTGGAGAAAACGCAGCCTTTTCGGAGTGCTCCATGGGTGAAGAGGAAACAGAGTGAGAAACAGAGGAGCTGCCTTGGTTGACAGGAGAAAGGAAAGGAAGCGGACATTAAATAGGGGTGAGAAAGCAGAGTGGGCAGCACGATCTTACCTCATTAAACCCCATTACACGTCACTAATATGAAATCAATTATCAATAAGACTTGGACCAATTAAATAATTTCATTCATATTTTTAATATTAATCCCTTAATTTTTAAAACTAAAATCAATAGAATTTTCTATTTTCTATTTTTCCCCTCTGAATTGGAATTTCTACGCTGTTATTATACGTTCTGTTACGTACATGGAACGGGATCATCTTGGTCCAATGAAGAGTCAAAGCATTGGATGACTCAAGTGATTGTCTTAATAAACCAAAACCATATATAAAAATAAAAGTCATAAATGATTAGAATATTCACAAAAATTTATCTTTTAATATGTAGTGACGTTTAACTTTGTTAACGATATACCTATTAAGTAAAATTAGGAATGGTATCTTAATTTTTTTTCAAATGTTAAGCATGGAAGTCGTTATAATTTTGATGTCTAGGTGCTCTGCTACTATGGGCTTGACTCTTCTAAACAAGAATCCTGTATGTATAATGTATGTTGTTCATGAATCTATGAAAAGTAGGCAGGTATCCATGACACATCACCAAATCATTCAAATTCAAGTAGGTTTGGGTCTCTCATCCAAATTATGAAAATAGAAGGCAGCCAAATTGGTCTCCTTGCTGATGCAAAAACAGTGCTTTGGATTCCTTTTTGGCAGGTTACAGAGCAGCCACCAAGGAAATTTGCTGAGAGGCTGCCATGTATGTTTAGTTGAGTTCTGTTATGGGTTAAGTCATTGGGATATTGTGATTGGATTTTTATTGGGTTTCACCAAAAACAGGTGCCCCACTGTTCCGTCACACTCCCCTTAAGACCGCCTTGTTTTCCTTGGCTGATGCAATTCACAGTTCTTTGGTTCTTTGAACTTGGAATGGCAATGCTAATAGAAACCCAATAAGTTGCCCACTTCATATAAATTTGGTCTCTCCATTTATACTCAATTGATTTTTAGCCAATGCTTTAATAGGGTTTGGTATCCTAGGTTTCATTTGTGATCAGCCCTTTGTGTATATCTCAAAAATTGGATCAGCAGGTAAACATTCATATAGGAATAAAACCATAAGGTTACTCAAACTGACTCTTCAAGTTTAATAGTTCATTTTCAAGTCTTAACATTTAAATAAAATTAATTAAAATTTGTCAATTCATAAGTTGAGTTCATTCCCTTTCTTCTATAATTGTCCTTGATAAAAAAAAAAAAAAACCACAATAAATTTTGATCTAACATTTAGCATAAATGACTTTTATTCCCTCCACTTTTCTTAAATCAAACAAGTCTATAGAAATAATCATTAATTTTGGAAGAAACCATTAATTTTAAGGAATTTGTAAAACACCTAACTGCCCAAAAAAAGAAGAAGAAAAGCTAACCTAAAAATTCATGAAAATAAACTGGGTAAGATTAAAAACAGTCAATCTCAGATTCTCAATATCTTGTTTAGAATGTCAATAGGAGATGGAGAACTAACCAATCCTGCAGCCAAAAGAATGACACATGGCCGATATTTTCCGTCCATCGGATGCCACTTTTCCCTTTTTACTGTTTCCCCACATCACAGACAGCATATTCCTGCAACCACCATTGCACAACTACTAGGCGAAGCCATTGATTAAATGACAGTGACTCGAAGCTTTAAGAAAGGGTACAGAACGGAAAAGGCCTTGGAGTCGTCGTTGGTGGGGCAGGAGTGGGTGACGAACCGCTAGGCTCGTGGGGAGCATGCATGACAATTAGACACCCGCAAGGTGTATGACAAAGTCCCCAAAGAAGGTGACACCTCTGTACAGAATTTGCTGTTATTTCTACGCCCCATTGCCATTCTTTTCCTCTATGTAGAAAAAACTCGGTCTTTGAACATGGATTATGGTTGAAGTAGTTGGGTATTTTGATATTTTCCTTCCTCTCGTTATCTCTACTCTTGGACTCTTCCCCAGTATTAGACTGCAATCCTAACTCTATTCTTTAGTTTACTGGTTTAAGTTGAAAACTTTACTAAAAGGCCTAATCTGGAGTCATCATTCATGATTAGTAGTAACTTACTAAGAGATTAAAGAGAGATTTATTTTGCGTGTGGACCTGAATCCAGCTTAATTATGTTGAGTAGAAAGAGAAGGGGTTCATTTTTTTCTCACCTCTAAGATCACTTTCTCGATGGAGAAAAAAATTAAAAAAAAAAAAATAGCTACTACATTAATTCTGTACCTGATTAAACAGTTTAGTAAGACCAGGATCATGTGTCATAATCAATGAATTTAACCACATTTGCTTGCTTCCTTGAATCCAAAGTCAACTAAAAGAAATGTTAAAAATAAAGTAGCGTAACTTTTTAGGCTGTTCTCTGGCTGGAACAAATCAAGGTTTGGAATCTGATTTTCAAGAAATTAAAACACATGAGGGTTCTGTTATTTGCTTTCTAAAGCTTGGAGGCTTATGAATTATTTGTTTGATGATGATAATAGATGCTTCAATCATCCGAATTACAATAATTGGTCCATTATTATCATTATTGTCGAGTGATGGTGCTAGTTTGATTTGAATGACAAAGATTCTCTAGCTCATTGGTTAGTTAGGCATCCATCTATTTGCATGTACAATGACCTGAAAATTTTTACATATTATGACCTAAACAAATTTGTAAATATTTTGGCCATAAACACAAAGTCTAGATATAAGAAAAATTTAGCCGGTAATTAAGATGTCAGTCTTTCTAAAGGTGGAATTTTCTGGTGCATGAAGTTGTTACTCTGCCTGCCTTACAAACCAAGATTGAAGTATTGAATAATTAATAATAAGATGATTGAACTAGTCTCAAATTAAGTCAAATTATCAGAGGACGGTGATCTAGTGATTCAACAAACAATCACCATGCATAACATGTGTATGACTTAATGACAAAATTAGATGACTAAATATTGCAACTGCTTCCCTTACGCATACATATAGTAATTAAATGAATTGAATTTGCTAAACTGATCATAATTAATGGGTACGGGTACGGCTAGTTTGACTAATCACACTTTTTAGCATTTTTTGGGAAAATGAAATGTGTTGTGAAATTTTTTTTTATTCTTTATATTTTCTTATATGATATCATCTTGCATGGAAAATTTGAAAGGAAAAAAAATGTCAGTTCTTTTTAATTGAAATATTTGTAGTGCATATCATGCAAACTGGCTTCCATTTGTGGGTACAATCTACCCCGGTCCACACGTTGTTGCTTTGTTGGAATTGATATAATTTGGTGGATTTCTCTTGCTCACTCGGTTTCTTTCCTTTTATACTTTTCTTGTTATATTTTCAAACTACTTTAGAAAATGAAAATGATACAAATTGGAGAGCACCCAAATCTCTGTTTATACATGAAAAAACTCTAAAGAGCAAATTGGATCTTCTTGGCAGAGGACAGTAAATTTAGGGCTGTACTAATAGCCAAAACCCTTCCCCTTTTCAAATTCTTCTCCACCATCTCACGCTAAATTTCAAGTTTGAATCATTAGGTTCTCCCTTTAATTACCTTAAGGAACTGGATTGACACTATATATACATATGAATATACATACTTTTTTTCCCTTATTTATATACTTACATGTTATAGACATTCATGCGTGCTACATTCTATGCCATTTGTCAATGAAAGAGAAAAAAGAAAAAAGTTGAAAGCCACTTCTCCTACCCCAACTTAGGGGTCCAACACTCAGCTTTGTTGATGATGATTCAACATATTAAAATGGAAGCTGACATATAGAATGGGGTTTCAGACTAGAGCTTTCTGTCTTTCTCATTATTGAGCGATTATTATTATTATTATTATTATTATTATTATTATTATTATTATTATTATTATTATTATTATTATTATTATTTTTC